CTGTTTTATTTTGAAAGGTACATCCCCTTGTTTAAGGCATCTTTCACTCACCTGTGTGTCACATGTCTGATTTTCTTCCCTGATTGTGTTCACCTGGGGTTCCCTTCCCTTGGGTTTAAATAGTCTGGTCTTTCCTTGTCTGGGGCCAGTGGGTAACCTCATAGTAATCCATGTCTTCCTCCTTGAACCCCGTTTATGCCTCCTTTTGAAATGATTTTATTTTGGTACTTTGTCCACAGTCTTGTTTATGCTTCCTAAGAGTGATTTGGATTTCATACTCTGTAACTTTTGCCTCCCTCTGTTTAGAGTGAGCTTATTTAGTACTTTGTTCTTAGATTTGTCTGCCTCGTTTTCTATAGGGACTCTTATTTTGGTACTTTGCCTTTCCCCCTACCAGCGAGTGCGCTTTTCGTTCCATTAAAACCTTAAAGATCTCTGCATCTGGGTCCTGTTTGAGTACCATCGTGACACGGTCGAATCGAAAGACACGAGACGAGGCTGCCGTAGTGCTGAGTGGAGGGATCTGGAGTTTGGGGACCTTGGCATTCATCACACACTTACACACACACACACACACTTACACACACACACACACACTTACACACACACACACACAGTTACACACTCACACACACACACACTGCAGTAGCCCTCCAGCTCAGCCCGCCTTAATTATTACACCTCCAGCTAATCAATAGCAAAGAGGCTAATCCTATTTCATCCCTTCATATTCATTTATGCCCGTGTCAGATTTAAACAACCGGGGCTGCGACTCCCAGCAAAGAAATAAAAACCCTCCCACACACCACACACACACATTTTTATGCATGTTTGAATGCGCTAAAAGAGCCAGAGGGGAGATTTTTTTTCTCCCCCTGCGTGAGGACGGAAAAGGGTATCGATCAGAGGCACAAAATGACAAAGAATGAAGACATAAAGATCCACTGATTGATTAAGAAACTGGAGTCCGACTCATCCCTTTTTCGTGATCATTTACGTTTCTTTGTGTGTTTCAAACACACACACTCACACACACTCTAACAGAGCTCTGCATCTTTAAGGGTGACATGAACAAACTGGGATCTTTTGATGTGAGACTTCTGCATAAATTCTGCCGAAAGCCAAAGACGAGATCCAAGGTTGTCCGTCAAAAAGCCGAATATAACGAATGCAAAAATGTGTGGGAGAGAACACGGTTAGAGGACCCAAACGCAGACGATGACTGCAAAACGTGGCTAAAAAGGAAGGATCGTGGAGCCTGAGAACAGGAGAGACACAGAAGAAGAAGAAAAACCAGGAACAGGACTAACTT